AGCAGCTCTGGTGGACATTCCTGCAGTCAGCATGCCAATTGCACGCTCCCTCAAAACTTGCGACATCTGTGGCATTGTGCTGTGTGATAAAATTGCACATTTCAGAGTGGCCTTTTATTGTGGCCAGCCTAAGGCACACCTGTGCAATAATCATGCTGTCTAATCAGCATCTTGATATGCCACACCTGTGAGGTGGATGGATTATAAGTGTTGCGTTTATAATTTTGTTCAGTGTAATTAATAAAGTTGCTTAATTAGAAACAAAACAGCATCATGCATGTATGTATAATTTAATACAAAGGACCGAAAACCAAACACAAAGAGTACTTTCTTCATTTAAAAACTTGAGATGCAGTGTGATGGGGAAAACCGCTATAAAGTCTTGAGACATGTTTTTTTAAAAGTTGAACATTAATTTTACATGGCTTTCTAAACATGCGGCTCTCTTGTGCGAGTGCTCTAGACGCGAGTGCAACGGTGATAGATGTCCCTCTAGAAAATGCAATAAATATGCGTTCTGTGTGAACGGCTTGGTTTCGGTTTTGACATAAACAACATCTTCCCCGCATTGATTGTTCACTTTTTCTGCAATATTTTGAATGAACAACGTAGCAGCGCCACATCTAGTGGGTTCAACTGGATAGGCTAAGAAAAGCATTAAAATGCAATGACACTTACATCGTCGTCGCATTTCGTGCGCCATTGATAAGGCTGCCTGACGCACACCTAAAATTCGTTTTTGCATTCAAATGTGGATTTTTATTTTAAATTCGACGAATATTCGAAATTCAAATTTTTTTGGACAGCCCTACATGATAATAGACCCGCAGACATTGCTCAATCATCAAACAGTCCTTTGAGATGTGCCCTGCTTCATTACAGATCTATAATCTATAGAAGCTTGTTTACACCACAGGATAAAAAATTTAAAAGGTAATTGCAACTTTTTATTCCACAATTCAGACGTTTTTCCACGCAATTCTGAGTTTATATCTCACAATCTGAAATATATTCAGAATTGAAAAAAATTAAATAAAAATCATAATTTGTCTTTTTTTTTTTGCAATTCTGAGAAAAAAAAAAAAAAAGTAAAAATTGTGAAACAAACTTGCAATTGTGAGAAAAAAAGTCAGAATTGTGAGACAAACAGGTATCCATAATAATCCATAATTATAAATGATTATAAAATTAATTTTGCCTATTTGAAGTCTGCAAGCACTATTTTACCCCATTCTGTGCCGTCTCCTGAACTCCGAGCCTCCCCGGCACCTTCTCCACCCTCTGCATTTACCAAAAAGTCAAACTCCTTCAGTGCCTCCTCTGTGAATCCATAATGATAAATGATTATAAAATTAATTTTGCCTATTTGAAGTCTGCAAGCACTATTTTACCCCATTCTGTGCCGTCTCCTGAACTCCGAGCCTCCCCGGCACCTTCTCCACCCTCTGCATTTACCAAAAAGTCAAACTCCTTCAGTGCCTCCTCTGTGTCGGGGTCATCCGGTAAGTCGGAAGCCAAACCTTCATTTCCGACCTGGAAAAGTTATCGTAATAGGATAGATTACATAAACAATCATATATTGAGAACAATAACATGTCAATTACTACTAAAATTGTTACGCACCTTCATTTTATGTTTCTTTATTCTACGTTTATTGCTCCTGTCAGGCACATCCTCCATTATGTCACCCTCATCATCTTCCTCTTCATCACTATCGTCAGCATTTTCTAAAAAATTAAATGTCTCCAGAACCTCTGGATTCCTGTTAGACCAAAGGCATCATGAGCAAGATGGAAATCTTTCCTTTAACTGTTTATATTAATCTACCAGCTGAATCGACCCCAAAAAATTTCCAAGAAATCTGTACCTGTTCATATCGTGTCCCTTTCTTTTGGCTGGAGACTCTCCTCCATTGAGAATTTGCTCTAGGTTCTTGGTTTCCACAGAACCGTTCTGCTCGGAGCCTGACAGCCCCAGTAACGACCGCACTCTCTGCGACCGGACATCCAGTATTGTGTCCGTATAACCTACTTCCTGAAGATATCTTGAAGGAAAGAGAGGTATAAAGACAGTCAGAACAGAGCTCAGACAATCAGGTGCCATAAACAGGCATAAGGTGACGACGCAGGTGCCCATGAACTTAGCCAAACTGATACTTTCACACCCACATAGGATGTATCATTCAGAGAAGCTCAATGACTCGAGACTAACTTACTGTCTGAGGAGCTGCCTGCCCTGTTTCCACGTTAACTGGCTGTTCTGAGGTATAGCCGAGACCTCTGTATCTTTGGTATCTTGTTTAAGAAACAAAATAAACAATAAACTACATCAGTGCATGCAGAACAAAACATATATGTATATACACATACAAAAGTTATTTTAAGTTAAGTTATTTTTTTTTACTGACTACTTTTTTCTTAAAATTACTACTTTTATTCAGCAAGGCATTAAACTGATCAAAACGACAACATTTATAAGGCTATAATTATTTTATTTTTTTTAAATAAATGCTGTTCTTTTTATTAAAAAATATATCACAGTTTCCACAAACACATTAAGCAGCACGACTGTTTTCAACATTGATAAGAAATGTTTCTTGAGCAGCAAATCAGCTTATTAGAATGTTTTTTGAAGGATCATGTGACACCAAAGCCTGAAGTAAATTCAGCTTTGCCATCATAGGAATAAATTACATTTTAAAATATATTAAAATAGAAAACAGTGACTTCAAATTGTAATTGTATTTCACAATATAACTACTTTTACTGTGTTTCTGATCAAATAAATGCAGCCTTAAGAGACTAAACTTTTGAATGGTAGTGTATTGTACACATTTTCAATAGTAGGTTGTGTCCCAGGAAGTGAATGAGAGGAGGCAAGGGGAGGGGGTATTTATAGACAACCCAAACCCTCAACCTTTGCTGGAGAAAAAGAGCTCTTGCAGGCTCTCATGACAACTTTATTTGTTTGGCAGCTAAACTAGAGAAGGACATCCTGTGCAGTTTTCATAGAAACAGGGAAGGTGAAGGGGTCTTGTCCTTTACAATTCAATCATACAATATTTTCCTAAACCGCCTAATGACAGATAGAAACATATGGTTTAATAAAACTTGTTAAATGAAAGTGAAGTTCCAAATTTCACCTCAAAAAAGACAAGTTTAGGGGCATTTCATTCTGACTCGTAAAACATAGCACAACAAGCAGGACAGTGAGACGCCAGTCCATTGATCGAGTCAACACTACCTTCACCTCACGAACTAAAATATTTAACTGTTAAACTCAAATATCTGACAGCAATATAGCTGAGAAGCATTGTGTAATACTTTGTAAACAGAAAAAGGTCCCCCAGTGAAGCAACGGCAACAAATTTAGTAACATATATTACAACAAGGGCTGTCAATTAATTCAAAATTATGTTAATAATTAAATGATAGGCAGATTAAATCACAATTGCTTATCAATATTTGCTGAGACAAGCCTAATAAATTCAATGACAATAATTAAAAGACATTACTTTACTGTGACAGATGGGTAAAGCGCTGAATGCATGATATATCATTCCATATTGGCTGATGTCAGAGATAATTTCCCGGCATTGGTCTATTGGCCTATACTAAATATTTAGTCGGCATGAAATGGAAATGGAAATTGCGTCAGTATTTTCCCTATTATGAAGCATATATGGGTGAAATGGCTTCTCAAACAAGAAATTTTTTTTAATATTTTTGATTAAAGATTATGATGGAACATTTTTTTAAAACGATGATGGATACATGATTTATAACAAAATCAACAATATTCCATAAAAAAAATACAAAGTCAGTTTTGTTCTTATGGTGACTTTAATTGTCATCATACTCTTTTCCTCTATTTGGATTACCTGTACCATCATCACTTCAAACTAGGGCTGGGTGATATGGCAAAAAAATTAAATCTCGATTTTCTCAGAACATTTGACCGATTCTCGATTTTGTACGAATTTTAACTAGTCAGCTTGAAAATGTAACTACAACATGATTCAAGTAACTTTTTCTTTATTAACCCTCTAGTTAAAGAAAACTCTATTCTAAGTGCAGCACACATTAAGTTGTAATCATGATGTAAATGTTAAACAAATCACTTGTTAAATATCTTTGCAGAAAAGATGCATGAACTACAACTACATCTTGTACAAACTTGTCTTATACATATTATATGTTCAGAAATAATAGTCAACGTAATTCAAATTCAAAATGACTGAAGGTATAACAACCAGTAGACTATTAGGCTATTAACTATAAATGTTCTGTAAAAACAATGAACAGCAGTTTTCAGCCTGTCAGCATGATGCAAACATGAAATATCGGACATAGTAGTTCTTTACAGGTTTTTTATTCGATTGAGCTGCTTTTCCATTGTTTTTTTCTATGTAAACATGGACGTGTTTGACTGTTGCGTTCGTGTCTCTTGCAGCGTCTCATGCATGAAACGGCATTATGTTTCTTGAGCAGCAAATCAGCTTATTAGAATGTTTTTTGAAGGATCATGTGACACCAAAGCCTGAAGTAAATTCAGCTTTGCCATCATAGGAATAAATTACATTTTAAAATATATTAAAATAGAAAACAGTGACTTCAAATTGTAATTGTATTTCACAATATAACTACTTTTACTGTGTTTCTGATCAAATAAATGCAGCCTTAAGAGACTAAACTTTTGAATGGTAGTGTATTGTACACATTTTCAATAGTAGGTTGTGTCCACTTACCTGATTCAAAGCTAGGCATTTTCATTTCACCTTGATTTAGTTCTGTCCCATATTTTAATTTATGGAATTTTGCTCTGGTAATAGAAGTGAGAATCTTTGTTAAAATGCATAATATTTTATATATATGAAATGTTAGAAGAAAAAAAACACTACAAACCTTTCTTGCTTTAATGCATATTCTAACATTTTTATTCTTCTAACAAGGTCATTCTTTAAATTTTCTTGACCCTTCCTTTCTCCTTGGAGGAACGCTATTCGGGCCTGCAAGACAAAAAAGGAGGTCAAAAAGGTTAAACTAGTGTTTATATAGTTTAGCTAAGTTGTCAACTTGCGAATTGCATGTTATGAGAAATAATATATTGGCAATAAATAGCGATACCCTTGCTGACATCACACAAAAGGGAACATTTAGTGCAATATGCATTTGTGAACGAATCGTTTGATCGGTGCAGTTCTTTTTAATGAATCAGTAAAATCGATTGTCGAATCAGTCTGAATGAAAGCCAGAACCCAGTTTTAGAAATATCGGACATAGTAGTTCTTTACAGGTTTTTTATTCGATTGAGCTGCTTTTCCATTGTTTTTTTCTATGTAAACATGGACGTGTTTGACTGTTGCGTTCGTGTCTCTTGCAGCGTCTCATGCATGAAACGGCATTCTAAAAACACAGAGCTCTAGTCATTAAAAGATGTTCAACTCCCATCTTCTTGCATTTTTTCCTATTTCACTGCCCGCGTCGCATCTGTCAACACAAAAGCGCATTCTGTGTGAATGGCGCCTAGCGATATATTCTACTTATGGTCCTTCACAGTGTTGCCAACTAATTTTCAGGGGAAGTTGCTAAAGGAAGGTTGATTTGTTGCTAAAAGTTGCTAAATGATGTTGTGATGACATTGCGTGATGACGTCATTACGTAATCACAATGCAAAATTATGTCAAATCTCAGCAAAAACATATATATTTTATATATGTTAATTTAGATTTGTTCATAACAATATAAATGCATAATATAATATTAAAATATAAATAACTATTTTTAAATCCATTGAATTATCGAAAACGTACACATTTTTGAACGATTACAATTTTATCGTTTGAGTCACTTATCAAAAGTTGCTAAAAGCTGCCAAATAAATTTTAAAAAATAGCTAAATTTGTTGCTAGGTGCTTTTGGAAGAAAAAGTTGCTAGGGTAGTCTGAAAAGTTGCTAAATTTAGCAACAAAATTGCTAAGTTGGCAACACTGCCTTCACAGGGTGCGTCACACGTGAGCGGTTAATCACGTGCGCCAACATGCGGTTGGATCGTTCTTTTCTCTTTACTGTTATTGTCAAAGTGTCTAATTCTAACTTTTGGTAATATTTGTATTCACAATCGCGATTCCTCGATTTATAAAAAAAATAAAATCGTGGCAAAACATTAAATTCGAATTAATCAATAAAATCGGAAAAATCGCCCAGCCCTGTTCAAACTAATCTTTAAAAACACTAACAATTTCATCATACTGTTAAATGTAATCTTTAGGTAAATCTCAAAAAGAATATAGATTTTCAATACTGCACATTCGGATGATTACACTAAAATCAAGTGTAGAATTAAAATAATATTATTCAAATTAATATTTTAAATAATTGATTTTAGTATAATAATAGTATAGAATTTTAAAATGAAAATAACACGAATCGCTCCGTTGGCATAAGCATTCCTCATTATGGAATTTACATACAAGTTAGGACCATAATTAAATGTTAATTTTCACAAATAATTTTTGTGAAAATGTTTAATTTTATAATATTTTAAAAGACATCCAATGAAACTCAACCAATGAAACTACCCTAAGAAAATTTTAGATCGAGAGAAAAGGCCAGTGAGAGAACACAGGCTGGGTTGGCCGCTGAAAGCCATAATGCTCTTGGAAGGAGCTTTCACACAAGACAGCTGTCCGTATTTGTCTTCAGACTACAGACATTTTGGAACGAGACTGACACACAGAGGCCTGCACTACTCAAAAGCACACCATGTGTATGACCCCGTAACAGCACTCATGGTCTTATTACAAAAAAATGGTTCTCTGAACTACAGACTCATACAAAGACCAAAATACATCTGTAAATAAATCAGTAACTATGGCATCACTGATTGTCACTGCAAAGAGTATGAGGTGATAAAGTTCTCGAGAAGACCTGTCTAAGCACCTGGCAGAAGTCTGCTTTCACAATCCACCCCTACGTTCACAGCGCTGGAATCAATGTGTGAGGTCACTACATTGAGACGCCTCACAGGCAGCCCGGGGGAAACATAGTGAGATCACTGGCCAAAACTAGAGCCTTACAAAGGAGCAAGCTGCAGCGCACGGGGCAAGAATAGCCCTCATCGACGCAGGACACATTCCACCATACAGTTGTCAGATTAATGAGTTAACAGCAAAGAATATTACAAGCTAATGACGATTTTACTAACTGACGACTAACCTGTCGTCTGACAGACAATCTCATGAAAGCTGTTCGACTACTTGAATTTTTTCATTTCTCTGAAATAAACTGTACTGGACGAAGACGTCTTTAAAAAGACCACTAGATAGTAAGTTGACTGTCAAAGGTGCAGGTTGATTTACCCAAAAAGCACAAACTCTGTGGCGCTATGAAAAAATGGTTCTGTTTGAGCATCGCTTGGTTTGTCCAACCGATGGCAGACATGGGAACAGTCAGGAAACCTATTTGTGCAATTCTGTTAAGTTAACACACTTCAGAATCTCGTGTGCAGCCCGACCTAAAGCGGAACAACCTGCATATCATGAAAATATCTTTTTCAACATCTTTCATTCTATGCATCTTCCAAAACCGATGTCTATACACTACTGGTCAAAAGTTTGAGGTTGGTAAGATTTTTTTTTTTTTTTTTTTAAGTCTCTGATTCTCACCAAGGCTGCATTTATTTGAGCATTCAGTAAATACAGTAACATTGTGAAACTACTACCGTTTAAAACAACTGTTCTCAATTTAAATATATTTTAAAATGTAATTTATTCTCATGAAGCTGAATCTTCATTGCTACAGTCTTTAATGTCACATGATCCATCAGAATATGCTGATTTGGCGCATAAGAAACATTGATTATAATAATTTTAAAAAATGTTGTAGAGGTTATGCTGCTTTTTGTGGAAAAAAATAAATAGAAAATAGAAAAATAGAAATCTTTCATAACATTATAAATATTGGTTGACCGATATAGTTTTTTTGACAGCTGATGCCAATATCTTAGAGAGCAGGGTAAATTATTTATTTATATATATATTTATATATATATTTGGGGTGCAACGGTTCTCCACACACGGTTCGGCATACACTAGGACCGCGGTTCAACTTAAATCTGACAATGCATCTGTAATATGGTTTGTTACAGTTCGGCTAATGCATGTTTCTGTTGATGGATACAACTTCTGGCTTCCCAATACATTACAACAAGAGCGATGAGAGAGAAAAAAACAATAGGCCTACGTGGACAAACCAGTCACTCTTTGTTCAATGCGAGTGCTTTATGCTGGAATAACTGTCATTTATGCCGTCATCATGAGTTGATAGCGCAGGTGAGAACTGAACAGCACACGTTGCTATCTGTGTTTAAACTAAACTCATTTAAGCCTTGCCAGTTTAAATATTAAAGAGCCAGAAGACGTGAACACGGGTGCGCAGTGAGAAGATCTGTGTGGTCGCTCATCCGAAGCGTGTGAACCTGCGTCTCAGAACGCGCGCAAATATTAAGCTCTCTGTGAAGTATTGTGTTTGAATGGACAAATTCACACAAAAA